TCTACAGGATGAAGGTCGCTGCCTCGCTTGCCGTTCTGTTCGGTCTAGTGCAGCTCGCCACCTCGTCGCCGGCACGCTATCCCATCAGTCCGCGTAAGAATGCGGCGGTCGAGGGCTACGGTCAACAGACCTCGGCCTATACAGCACCGAGCGCCTTCCCCACCTCGATATTCGCATCGTACTACAACGCACCCGAATCCATGACCGCCGAGCCGCGGCCCGTCGTCACCGACGTAGCGCGGACCTCGGTCTTTCCCGACATCCTCGCCAACCCAACCGTCCTGCCACCTGGCCCTTCGCCCAGCGAAGCAGTCTATCCCGTGCCCACGGGCGCAGCGACGCCGGACGTGGCAGATCAGGTCCGCACCGAGCTCACCAATACCTTTTCGTCGTCGGCAGCCAACTGCACCAAGTGCACCGATGCGCTCAAGACGGCGCAGAAGCTCGCACAGCAGGCGCCCGAGCAGGTTCCCGGCATGCTTGTAGAGCTGTGCAAAAAGTACAACTACAAATCGGCCGCAACGTGCGAGGCCACCTATGCACCTCAGGTGCTTGGATCAGTATATGCCCAGGTGCTGAGCTATGCCAATTTTTCGGAAGGCAGCACCGATGCGCAATACATCTGCAACATCGTCGTCGGCTCCTCCACGTCGAGCTGCACGCTCCCCGCGCCCCGCGAGATCGACGAGGGCTTCCTCGACGATTGGTTCCGAGGACAGCGCATTCCGCCCGCAGAGTACAACCGCAATGTCGGAGAGCCCACCAAGAACGGTAACGACCTGCGGGTGCTGCACATGTCCGACATCCACGTTGACCCGCGCTTCTTCGTCGGCGGCGAAGCGGCGTGCACCAATGGGAGGTGCTGTCGTGCGGATGCGTACAACGCGACGCTAAGCAGCGGCAAGTTTACGCAGGGCATGCTGCCGAAAGCCAACATCTCCGAAGTGTCGACCTACTGGGGTAACTTCAAATGCGACACGCCATGGAGCCTGGTCATGGCGTCGCTCGAGGCCGTGACGCCGCTCAACGGTGGTGAAGAGGTGGACATGACCATCCACACGGGCGACATGGTGGTGCACGACCTGGCGCAGTACGTGTCTCAAGACCTGGTCAAGTACACGCACCAGTCGCTCTACGACAGCATTCGTAAGATGCTCGGCAAAGGCCCGGTGTTCAATGCGATCGGCAACCACGACTCGGCTCCATCCGACTTCGCCTCTCAGGGTGCTCTGCCGGATGGCAGGTCCGACCAGCTGTCGTGGGACTGGGACAACCTCGCCCGACTCTGGGAGTCCGAGGGATGGTTCAACCACAAAGAAGCCGAACAGGCGCGCAAGCACTATGCTGGCTACTCGGTGACCCCGCGCAAGGGCCTGAGGATCGTGGCGATCAACACGGACTTTTGGTACAAGAACAACGTGTTCAACATGATCCACACGCACGATCCGGACTACAGCGGCAGTCTGCGCTTCCTGACCGACGAATTGCTGCGTGCCGAGAAGCGCAACGAGCGCGTGTGGATCGTCGGTCACGTTCTGACGGGTTGGGATGGCAGCAATCCGCTCGACAACCCGACGAACCTCTTCTATCAGATCGTCGACCGTTTTGCACCGCATGTCATCGCGCACATCTTCTTTGGCCATACGCACGAGGACCAGTTCAACCTGTTTTACGCCAACAACGCTACGAGCGTCGCTGCGGACAAGGCCAAAGCGGTCTCTTTTATGGCCCCTTCAGTGACACCTGGCAACAACGTCAACCCGGCGCTGAGGATCATGCATGTGAATGCGACCACGTACGAGGTGATGGACTACCATCAATTCTACACCCAAGTGCCTACCTTCCCGCAGCTTCCATCGAGCCAACACGGCCCTGTGTTCGAGTATCTCTACTCGGCGCGTGATGCGTACGGCAACTTTACCGCCTCAAACGCCAACTCGTCCCACCCGACGCCTGGGGGAGTGTGGCCTGCCAACGCCCCACTCAACGCGACCTTCTGGGCCAAACTCACCGAGGAAATGCATGCCAGGCCCGAACTCGTGCAGCAGTTCACCGTCTTCCAAGGCAGGAACAGCCCCAAAAGTCCAAAGTGCACCGACGACAAGTGCGTCCAGGCCAAGATCTGCTACATGCAGTCCGGGTCGGCTCCGCTCGGTAAAAAGTGCACCCAAGGCTACGGTTCAGTCCAGTCCTGAGCTGGAACTGATTGTGCGATCGATGAACACGCTAACTCTGACACAGCAAATAAGATATGAATAGATCATTCCTATGTCCGTTTCCTACTACAATGGTACAAGTACAGTTAAAAACAACTAGAGGGATATACAAAGACCGAGCCCGCACGGGTGGAAGGAGGGGTAAACCAGCCCGCCTCTTTCCACGACGCTTGGAGATGCGGATTTTCACTTGCGAGCGGCGAGCTTGTCCTGCTCGACCATGGCGCGGATGTCCTTCTTGAGGATCTTGCCCGACGCCGACTTGGGCAGGGCGTCGAGCCACGTGAGGCCGCGCAGCTTTTTGTAGCTGGCATTGACGCGCTCGTTGACAAATGCGAGCAGCTCCTTTTCGAGCTGCTTCTTCTTGTCCTCGTCGTCGCCGACCTCTTCCTTGGTCTTGGGGTTGAGCACGACAAACACCCAGGGCAGCTCGGTGCCCTCCTTGTCCGGTACGCCGAGCACGGCGCAGTCGCCGACGCGCTCCTCCTTGAACATGAGGGCCTCGAGCTCCGATGGCGGCACCTGGAAGCCGTTGTACTTGATCACATCCTTGAGACGGTCAGTGATGGTGACGTAGCCCTCGCGGTTGACGCGCACAATGTCGCCCGTGCGCAGGAAGCGGTCGGGCGCATCCACGGACGGCAGGAACGTCTTGGCGTTGGCCTCGTCGTTGTTGAGGTAGCCCTGCATCATCTGCGGGCCGCGCAGGCACAGCTCGCCCTCCTCGTCAAAGCCAACCTCCTTGCCGTCGAGGTCGATGACCTTGGCCTCGGTGCCGGGCACAAGCTGGCCGACGGTGCCGGGGTAGTGCACGAGGTCCTTGCTGTTTTGGCTGCAGACGAGCGGCGACATCTCGGACATGCCGTAACCGTCAGTGGAGACTATGCCGAGGCGCTTCTTGACGGCGTCGCGCAGCTCCGAGGGCAGCGAGGCGGCGCCGGAGCTGACCTTGGTGAGCGAGCTGAGGTCGTACTTTTCGACCATGGGGTGCTTGGCAAGCGCGAGGAGGATGGGGGGCACGACAAAGCAGAAAGTGACGCGGTAGTTCTGCACGGTGGCGAGGAAAACGTCGAGCTGGAAGCGCGGCAGCACAATGGTGGGGGTGCTGGTGTGCAGGCCCATGAAGCCCATCAGCAGGCCGTAGCAGTGGAAAAGCGGCAGCAGCGCCAGGTGGAATTCGCCGCGGCTGAGGCGCGGGGCGAGGTTGATGCCGCCGAGCTTGCCGGTGAGCGTGTTGACCGAGTCGGCGGCGGTGTTCCAGGTCTGAGCGACGCGGGTGGTGAAGTAGCCATTGAGGTGCTCGCGGCCGTTCTCGTACCAGTTGTCTTCGTCAATAAGGGGGTCGTTGACGCGGTCAAGCATCGTGTAGGAGGACTGGATGACGTTGGCGACCATGGCGTAGTGGGAGAGCATGACGGCCTTGGGGCCGCCGGTAGTTCCGGAGGAGAAGCAGTAGACGGCGGTGGTGGTCTTGGGGTCGATGTCGACATTGTCGAGCAATGCGCGCGACTCGGGCAGCTCGTCCTTGCCGACCTTGAGAATCTTGGCGACCGAGGCGTCGTGGGTCTCTTCGAAGACGAGGATCTCGGGGATGGCAGAGAGGTGCTCGAGGCCGTCTTCGCCCTTCATAGCAGCTTCGCGGGCAGCCTCTTGTGTTGCCTGGTAGGAGGCGGCAGTGGTGATGATGGCGGTGGCCTTGACCATGCGGACCTGGTGTGCGATTTCGGAGGGCTTGTAAGCGGGGTTGAAGAGGGCGACGCTGGCGCCGGTCATCATGACACCAAGTGCGCAGGCGAGGTAGTCGTGCTGGTTGGAAGCGCTGATACCGACGACGTCGCCCCGGCCGTACTTGCGGCCGGACTCGGTGGAGCCCGAGATGAGCGCCGAGGCAAAGTTGGTGGCATATTCGCGCACGTCGACGAGCGAGAGCGGCTTGGCATCGGGGCGACCGGTGACCTCAGGCTCGGCGGGGAAGAGAAGCGGCACATTGACGCGCTCCTTGCATGCCGGGATACCGATGGGCTTGAAGAGGAACTCGGGCAGAGTATAGGAGGGGGCGGTGAAGTTGTGGGGCGACTTGATGATCATGGTGCCGTCTTCAATGTAGAACTTGCGCTTGTAGTCGGCTGTAGCGAGGCTGAGGGTTCGAAGGGAGGCAGCGAGGACGGCGCCGTACAAGAGAAGCGGAGGCAGCGATGAAGAGCCTTGCTGGTGCACGGAAGGGAGAACACGGGCAGCGAAGCGGTCAAGGTAGTCGGAGATGTGAAGCGTCGAAGCGCGGAGGGAGTCCAACATGGTGTGCATTATATACTAGCTGCTCGGAAGACTGGGCGTTGGGCATACAAGCAGGAGCGGGTCGAGGACAGGCACAGAGGCTGGCTACGAAAGCTCAGAGGGACTGCCAAAGAAGCGCAAGAGAGGCGCGCCTGTGTGTGTGTGTGTGTGTGTGTGTGTGTGTG